ACTTTGGAGAGAGAGACTCCAGCATCGGCATTTTGAAATTCTACCAATCTGAATCGAATGTGTGGTCAAGTTTAAGAACACATGGCATTGGTGCAGCCACTATGGATAACAGCATGGCAGCTCCTCAAAAGACTAAACTTAGAATTACCATCTGAGCTAGCAATCCTACTTCTGGGTACATATCCTAAAAAATTGTCAGCAGGACTTGAAGAAATATTTTTGTACATCCATGTTCATAGCAGCACTATTCACAATAGCCAAAAGATAGAAGCAACTCAAGTGTTGATGGATGGATAAACAAATGGGGTATATGCACATATCAGTCAGGCCTAAAAAAGGGAAGAAGATTCTAACATATGATACAACATGGTGAAACCTGGGAATGTTATCCTGGGAAACATAAGCCAGTCACACAAGGACGCATTCTTTTGGTTCCATTTATACGATATTAGAATAGCTAAATTCATAGAGACAGAAAGTAGAATGGTAATTTCCAGGAGCTGGAGAGAGATGGGATTGGGGAGTTCTTGTTGAGTGGGTAGGGAGTTTCAGTTTTGCAAGATGAAAACAATTCTAGAGGTGGATTGCATAACAATGCAAATAGATGTAACTACTGAGCTGTGCACTAAAAATGGTTAAGATGGTAAAGTTTATGCTATGTGTATCTTGCCACAATTAAATATAAAATACCATAAAAAAAGTAAGTGGCATCATGTAATGCCTTATTTCTCAGTGTGATTTGTGGATCAATGGCATTGGCATCTTCTAGGAGCTAGTTAGAAATGTGATATTAGGTCCCACCTCAGATCTGCTGCATCAAAATCTGCATTTTTCAACAACCCTCCCCCAACACACACACAGGTGTTGTGTGCACACATAAACTCTGCGAAGCTCTAGTTGTGATTCACTGACAGTTTAGAAAACATACAAATGTCACTTGCCTTCCCACGTCCTCTCTTTTTCTTACAGAACAGGACATTCTCTCATGGCCACATTCCCCATGTGGTCCTACTCTCCTGATCAGTGACTGGCTTATGGTTGGGTGTGTTGCCAGCTTTTGACCAGTGAAACCAAGGGAAGTTCTGAATAGGTTTCGGTGACACCCAAGTAGAAATGGCCCTTCCCTTCTTTGGAAGTTTTCATGTTGGGATGGGACACAAGCAAATTCTGCAGGGATTTTGGGACCTTGGCAGCAACCAGCATGGTTCTTGATAACACAGCCACTGACTGACAAAAATCCTGGGTTCATTGCACCAATGGGTCTTTGGTTAAATGAGATTCAAAATGTATTTATTGTTTAAGGCCATTTAAGTCACAGTTTCTCTGAAATCCCTAGCTCAGTGTTTCTCTTTTCCTTCACTCTGTGGTTATTTGGGATTGGACACTTCGTGTATGTGTGTGTGTGTGTGTGTGTGTGTGTGTGTGTGTGTGTGTGTTGATGTCACCTGTATTGTGCAATGTTAAGCAGCACCCTCAACTCTACCCATATGTTTTCAATATAATTCTCCCCTCCCCGAGTTGTGACAACCAAAAAATGTCTCCAGATACATTACAAAATGTTGGGGGGAGAGACAATTTACCCCTAACGGAGAACCATGATTGCAGGCCATGGCATCCTAATAAACATGAAGACCTTACTGTGGGCCCTTGGAGGGATAAAGATCACTCCCATCCTCCAGAGTTTTCAACGATTAGTGTGATATCAGGTGTGTGAGAAAAGCAAACACACACAAGGTGTTACTAATCATTGCCTGTCTTTGATGCTGTTCGTGCAGTGATAACAATGTTGTAGTTTCCATTTATTCTTGTAATAGGTAGAAATGTTTAACTTAACAGATGGCCAATATGGATAGTGAATGGAATTTTCCCTCAGCAAAGTTGGTGAGCCCCGCCAGCACTTTTGGGTTTTCTGCTCAGAAATTCTCCTCTCTTACCCACCTGACCTGAACTGGCCACCAATTCCCAATCATTGTCCCCTGAGGTGCCGGATGCCCAGGAGCTCACCCATTAAGATTATTTTCATAGATTAAGAAAAATCTTCCTATTTGGCTTTTGAAGACAGAGACGGATGCTCTCCACATAATTTATTAGCAGCTCACACATCCAAGTATTTGAGAACTGCAGAGTTTGGAACCTGGACAACCTCGCTTGCTTTGTGTTTCTTTTCCCAGAATCAGCCAACACAGCAAGACCACTTCCCTTGGGGACCCCCCAACTCCTAAAATCAGAGCGTTTAGATTCATTGTGGAGAGCTTAGTTTCATTTGAAATGTCACAAAACTTCCCCTGGGGATAAGAAGGCTTCCAGGGAGAACTGAACTTTACAGGAGGGTCTGAAGAATTGGGAGCAGAGGAGAGAGGTGAGGGAGCTGGTGCTAAGAAAGGGAGGCACTGAAACCAATGGCTGCACAGCACTTTTGGCATGTGTCAGGCACAGATCTGGGCAATGCGGCAGGAGCTGGGGTGGAGAGCAAAGACCATCAGAAGGTAGCTATGGCTCTCCAGGATCTCACAGCCTACTGAGGACTATGTAGTGGGTGCTGAGTTGCTTTCCTAACATGGTTCTATGTGGTGGTATGGGGCAGTTACCCCCAGTAATACCACACAACTTTTGTGCTCCATGTGATCCACCTCTGGATTTTTTGGTGGCATATGTTAATAAAACCTCCTTACTGTGTAAACCCATTTGAACTGGATTTTCACAAACTGCATCATAAACTGCCCAAACTGACACAGAGTTTGGTAGAGGAAGGGGATTCTAAAATGAGCAAAACTTAAATGCAGGTTGGCTGTGAAAAGAAGTTCAAACAGCAGGCAGCATGAATGTCTCAATGTCTTTACTTAAATCAGGAAGATAATGACCTTTGTTTAGCAAAATGGTTAGTTTTGCTGGGCCAGTATTTCCCTGGAATACAGGCCTTATACTTAGGGAGACATGATATTTGAAAACAAGATAGGAAATATTCAGGATGTTGGCCACCAGTGGCAGTCTTCATCATGGTTCTGGAAGTTTCACATTTAGGGGAAAGGTGGCCCTTTTGAAAGTGGAGAGGGATGGAAATAGAGCTTTGTGAAAAGAGGGCCTCTCTGCCTGTCACCTATAATCTAAAGGTTCTGGACATTGATAAACAAGTCCTTCTGGGTTGGAAAAGCTGATTTATCAGGATAAAGTTAGAGGGCAGGCAACAAATTTAGTGACTTAGCAAGAAAAAAGATTGGGACCCCCAAAAAGCATTGTCCCATTTACCAGGTCTCTGCTGAGTATCTTGTCTTAAAACATATGTCAAGCTTGCTAATGAGGACAACTGACTTATCATGTGAAGATGCAGTTGGGAACAACTAGAAGTAATGAGCAAGTTTGAGGTACCACACCAGATAAGGGAAGATGCTACTGAAATGAGCAGCAAGACAATGGCAAGGTAGAGAAGTCAATTATCAGCTCAAGGAAATGACCTGAGAGGATCTCTAGCTTCCACTACCTGCCCATGAACTTAAATAAAAGAAACTCGTTAAATTCACATGGGAACTGAGTTTCCAAAAAGAGGCCTACTCTTGCCTGAGATTCCCATCTGTCAGAACCATCCTGAACTTGAATCTACATGAAGTGGAGCACTAAAACAGAGAGAGTCTCTTCTTGGAAGGAATCAACACTATGCCCACTCTAATCTTAACAAGTCAGTGGAAATGCACCCAAACCCAGAACTGGGAGCTGCCATATTATCTGATCAGGAAACTTGTTTTATAGGACAGGAACCCTCAATGTTTTCTCAGCATTGTATGGTATATCAACCAATGACAACTGAAGGTATTTCCCATGCTCCCCTTCTCCAAATACAAGGTTCCTTTCTGGAAATGCTTATGGTAGACATTCTGGTTTTCTCCCTGGTATCTCTGGCTGTTGGTGGTAGTGAAGTTGAGAATTTAGTTCACAAGTTATCAGACCATGTGTAGCTACTTCCAGACATGAGAGTATGACACATCTCTCAGAAAATAATAAAGTTGAGTCTGAATCCAATTACTCATTGAACCTCAGGGTTTCACCTATTGGGGAGGGGTTGAGACTATTTTGGCCCTGTGGTTATTTCTGATGAGTATGTGAAGGAAGGAGAGTATGGATTCAGTTCACCAAAGGGGTAGTCCATAGTGGGATGTTATATTTACCGCTTGAATACCCATCTTCTCTTCTCTGGATAATAATAGTGTTTTTTTCCAGGTAGCTATACTTAAATTCACACCTTGTACAGCTTCAATAAAGCTAATTCTATTTCCAGCTCTAGGACTGGCACATCAACCAACTCTAAGCTCACACCAGTGACCCTGCGAGACCTTGAAACTTTGTGAGACCCTGCTGGGAACTCTTCAGAGACTTGTTCTTTCTATTTCATCTTCCTCTTGGGGTGGAGATTTTTGGGAATATGAGTGTTGGAACTCTTTCACTAGCCCAAGGGGAACCAACTGACACAAAGAGGAAAAGCTGAAAGAATCAGGGAAATCAATGTGACCCTTGAGCTTTTGAATTATAGAGTAAGTGATAGACTGTCTTCTTTAAGATTTGAGCCAGTTTAAGAGTTTTGTTACTTACAACCAAACCATTTATTGTGGACTGTGATAAGTGCTAAATTAAAAATATGGGAAAAGTGTTGGTATTTAAGAGAGGTTAATTAGCTAAGAGAAGCAAGACATTTGAGTACTTAGGGTGGAAAGAACTGGAAAGGTACCATTGCATTTCTTAGCATTAAGCACACTCTTTCAGTGAGATTTGTTAGGCTCACATGACACCATCACCATTTATCTTTTAGTCTATCAAGATGGGAATGGATGTGTAAAGGTCTTTAGTGCAGGACATTGCACCTGGCACCTAAAAGCCCCCAATAAATGTTGGATGGTGGAAGGAAGTTTGCCATCTGTTACCCTAGTTCCTCTGTAGGCTGAGGGAGCTCCTCAGTGTCCACTCACATTATGAGTGTTCAGTTATCTCTTAATCCTTTTTCTCCCCATTAGTGTTGCAGAAGATGGATCACATGTCTCCCAGACTGAGAGCCTTCCTCTCTGAACCCATCGGGGAAAAGGATGTTGCCTGGGTAGATGGGGTCAGCCATGAACTTGCAATCAATTTGGTCACCAAAGGTTTCAACAAGGTAATTCTTTTTTCTTATTTTCCATTTTTTTCCCCAATCTCTCTTCTCCCAGTCCTGCCAGATGGTCGTTGCTGCCACATGTCCCTGTAAGGGGCCATCAGAGTGCAAAGCTGCCACTTGGCAGAGTGTGACATACTTCAGCACTATTGACCCCACATGCTTGGGTTGCCTCATGGGCCCATAAATGTTGGGCAAGTAGAATCACTTCCATTCAGAGCAGCTGGGCTGCTGGACTGGATATGACTCACTTGGTGTTCAAATACTCAAGAGTTGACAGAAGTGAGTCAGTGCCTAGGGCAGACTAAGCTGACAGGTTGGATGATTTGGGTGCACACCCACCCCCTCATCCCCATGAAAAGACTGTCAGGGTCTTTCTTACCCCATCAGGCCATCAGCCTGGCAATGACAGGTGGATTCACAGCAGCCTGGGATCTACACCAGTGTACTGAGATATGAGTATTCTGTGATATCACTCCCAGAACCAAGAGCAGTCTCAAGAATTTCTAGTGGAATCTGAACATCTTGTCCTATGTAATTATTTTTATTTATGGTGCTATTATAAAGCTGTTTGGAGAAAGGGGGACATCCTCAAAGAAAACCAAAAGAAAGAGAGCACATAACAGAGGCAGATGGGAATCCACACAGCACTGCACAATCCTGGAGAGAGACACCACCAACAGAAATACTGCTGTCCTTCCTCGTCCATTGTTAAAAATCAGTCTACATCGCCAGCAAGGAAGATGTTATAGAAACACCCAAGTTGGCTGGGGGCTGTTCCACTCTCAACTGATCATGTTTGGTTTCCACTGGCACAGCACACGATTGTTTCCAGGGGGCATCAGAGCTACTGGACCTGTGGCTTTCTGATTGATCACTGCATTGCCCAAGTTAAGTATTCTGAATGCCATCCCCATCTACCAGCCAGTTTAATGTCCAATAAAAGGCCTTGGTCAGGAAGCTGGAGCACCATGACTGAGGTGGGTTTGATTCTTTCCTACCAGATAAAGGATAGAGGATCACTCCTAATCAGGAGGGAGGTGGGCAAGTCTGATTAGGGGAGACATTTTTAATTACAGTTTCTTTTTTGGAAAGTAACTATGGTCCCTTTTACTTTTTTATTATGGTGTAACTTACAGTGATGTGAAAGGTTCACCGTAGCTTATTTTGACATTTATATACACCCATGAATCCACCACCCAAATCCAGTGATTAGGCACCTCTGGAATTCCAGATGGTTCCCTTGTGTCTCTTCCCAGTCAATGTCATCCCACACTCGCAGAGGTAACCCTTATTCTGGCTTTTATTGCCATTGATTTACTGTTCCATGTTTGTGAGGTTTTATTATTCAACTATATCATCATTTAAAAGATATTTTTAAGGACATTTCACCTTTTTTTTAGTACAGCAAGTACTAAACATGTTAGTTCTGGAAGTGTTGACAAATACATGCAGTCCCACAATCAAGACAGAACAATCTCATCACACCAAAATACTCCCCATACCCTTCATATTCCCGACCCTTAGTCTTTGGCAAGAACTGATTTGTTTTCTGTAAGTCTTTCCATCTTAGTTGTGTTGTAAATGAGGATTACAGGTATGATAAGTATGTTTAAGACAGAGGAATGAATGAATAATGGGAGAATTTCAGGCATCTGAGAACTTGCTACATGACCAGTAAGGCCAGTAAGAAGAGACTATTTGTCTATATGCAGCCAAGCTCTTGGAGTCATGTCCTTCTTGTGCTCATGACCTCCTGGCCAGCACCCTGACCAGCATTCCATTTCTAGGTCCTCTCATTCCTACGGCCATGACACTAGGCACAACACGGAGGATTTCACCTTTCTTCTTTGCTTTGAGCCTCTGAAAGCAACAAACAAGATGAGAGTCACTGTCTGCATTGCATAAAGAAAGTCACAGAGACTCTGGGGAGTTAGTACCTTGGGATAGAATTCCTGAGTAAAGTCAAGTTAGAATTGTCAAGAAGATCTGGGGCTTACACTAAGATCTGTTGGTGAGATCCTGTATCAGGACTTGGAACCGGCTGGACCTATAAGAGGATTGAGGATGGAAGAGGATGGAGGATGGAGGAGGAGACACTCAGCATTTCTAAGATGAGCAAATGCTTCTAGATAAAGACCAGTTGTTGTGCGGGGCCAGTGTAATTTTGAGCCTCTGGGGCAGGCAGATGCTTATAGACAAGGGGTCTCAGATGTAGCAAATAAAAGTGCAGACTCAAATGTACATACACACACATATGTATGAATGTATATTTTTAATAACTTATTTTTTAGAGCAAGTTTAGGTCACAGCAAGATTAAGCAGAAGAAACAGCAATTTTCCACATATCCCTTGCACTGACACATGCATCAATATGTCCTCCCCCATTATCAACTTCCTCTACTATCCCAAGTACATTTGTTACAATTGAAGAAGCCACACTGACATATCATTATCAACCAGATTCACAGTTTATATTAGGGTTCATTCTTGGTGGTGTACAATCTGTGGGTTTAGACAAATGTGAAATGACCCATCATGAAAATATCACACACAGTCATTTCATTACCTTATAATCCTCTGAGTTCTTGTAATTTTATCCCCTGCCTCGGGGAGACTTATGTCTAGCAGAGGAAGAGACATATTTCCAGGCCTCAGTGAAGTCCGAGTATTCAGCGGGACCCTGTACTGTTGACCAGTTTTCCAACATGTGATCTGCAAACCCACACTCACTATGATAGAGACACAACGTGCCTTTGGTGTTCTCTGTAATCTGCACTAAGGCAGAGGATTGTTCTGGTTTTTGCACATCTCCCTAAGAAAACCCCAACCACAGGGGAATGAATGAATTTCCAGGCACTCAGTATATTCAGTCACAGGCAGTTCCTGATGGGGTGGGTGTGTTACTATAGGGATTAGTTATTCCAACAGGTTAGAAGTTTAATAACCCAGAGAACCAAATTTGGCTCGAAGCTCTCTGAAGATGCTATAAAGTTATATTCTTGAGATTAAATCTACCTCCTAAGTGATACTTAGAAAATCAGAATGGAGTTCTGGGTGCCCACCTGTTCCCCAAGTCTCTCCTGTGTGATAGAAGAACCATCACATAATCTGCTACATCTCAATATTTTCAATTTACTTCATTTAATCAACAAACAATCCTATAATGTATACAATTTCATTTCCATCTTACCAGTGAGGAACCTGAGGCACAAAACAGCCTTGTGACTTGCTCAAGGTCACTGAAGGTGAAAGAGATGAAGCTTGAACATGGGCAGGCAGGTTCTGGGGCAAGCTATAAGATAATGGATCCCACTACCCAGTGTCTGGAGTCATCTAATAAATTTAGGGTCACCTTGTGTAAGGGCGCCTGATAAGTACATGATGCCTAGTTAAATGTGAATTTCAAATAAGCAAATGATGTTTTAATGACCTATGCTCCAGAGAAACAGGAAGAAGCAAGAAAAGGAGCAAGCCCTGCACTGAATTAAGACTCTACTTAGAGTTTTAACCCACAAATCACTGAGAAATAGCAGATTTGCCAAGTTGTCATGGACTATCAGTGACATCGAGGCTTAAGTGCCAACATCTCATTAGAGAAAAAGAGAAAGTTGTTTGTCACACAATGAAGTCTTGTGAGAAGTTGGGAGCTGGGCAGTGGGAACATTGCCTCAAGCATGACAACAAGAAGGCTGAGACTTTGTATCTCTGTTTGATAAGGTCAGAAGTCATCTGAAGACCAAAACTTTTAATCAGCTTGGACCAGGACCAGCTACCTAATTTGTTGGGCCAAGTGAAAAAGGGAGATGCAAGGCCCCTGTTCAAAGTTATTAACACTTTAAGGTGGGGGCAGCAGAATATGCAACAAAGCTGGACCCTCTGAGGGTGAGTCCATCGACTGCCCCATTGCACACAAGGAACCATGTCCTGGTGCAGACACGAACTGCTGCCCTTCAGGAGTTGTATACAGCAAACTGGCAGGTGTTCCAGATTTGCTTGGGACAAGTCTCTGGGGTAAACCTTAGTGTTTGGAATTGGAGTTGAAGGGAGCCTGTCCTTGAGCCACCCTCCTGCCATGTGTGCTGCGGAGGGAACAAACGTCCTGGCTTTGCAGTGGCTACTGTCTCAGTTGGTGGGAAGATGGGGACATCTGTTCAGTGCTCCTGTGTCTCTATGTCACCCTCCTGGCAGCCAGATTTTTGAGCTTTGGCCCAAGAGAGGAGAGAGGCAGTTTCTCTTCATCTCCAAAGGGCTTGCTTTCTGGAGTTGGCAGAAAAACGGAGTAAGTTTCGAGCAGGGCCCAACAGAAGCCCCTGACTCCAGCATCCCCTGGGAACATAGCAAAGCAGGCAAACAGTCCCTTTCCACCAGCTGGAAGGTGGCAGGGTGAGACCAGAGAGAAAGTGGAGAAGGAGAAGGGGGTGTCATATTGCAACTTGGCTCCTGAGCCCAGCCACGGGGCCAGGCCTTCTTCCTATGGCATTCCTGGAAAGTTTGCCTCTGGTTCTGTGTACCAGGCATTCCCTGGTTTCCTGGCTGCTGAGCCTGGGGGAATGTGGAGACTCCAATTAGCTGACCAGCTGAAGCCAGCATGGAAGCCTCTGAAATGTCAGGGGACCCCATGGGTGCCAGGCCACCTGTAGACAGTTGAGATGTCCAAGAATGGGGTCGAGGAAAACAGAAGTCTTAACTTTTCGGATTTTTAGTGACTCCATCTGGAGAACGGGAGAGGTACATGTGAGTGTCAGATGGATTAAAACATTGTCAGGGCTCTGGAGCCCAGCAAAGAGGATCAGAAGTGCCCTCACTATTATTACTATTATTCTCACTAATGTACCCTCTCCTTAGAAAAAACACTGTGTTTCCAGATCCTGTTGTATTCACCTCTGCACCTCCCACACAGGCAGCAACTGGCTCAATCAGCCACCAGGAACCAACCATTCATTATTTTCGATGTTGAATTAAAAAGCAGCTCAGGAAATCCACCCCTGAAGATGTGAGGATACCGATAAAGTAAAATGAGCTCATTCTCAGCAACTACCCTGCTTTAAAAAAAAAAAAAAAAAAAAGATGATTAAAGTAGCAGTTTAAAATGACCACGAAATCCTAACTTTTTTCTCTTTTCAACAACTGGACCATGACTAAAAATTAAAAACCCCAAACTCCAACGCTTGGGGACATTTTACAACTGGGATTCAGCTTTTATTTAATTTCTCTTAAAAAAAAACATGTTCCCTTGGGTAAAGATGAAATTTGCTTTGTTCTATTTGACTGAAAGTAAACAGATGCCAGTGGGTATTCTGGAGAGGGCCCAGAACTGAGGCATGGACATGGTTCTCGTTCATTCCAGGCTGGAAAACCCCCAAACAGCCCCAAGAGATAGGCACTTATGGCACCTTAAATCTCCAGGCTTTCCCCATTAGTGACAGCCAATCTACAGCCACCCGGTCTTGAAAGTCCATTTCTCCACGGCTCCTTGCTCCTCATCCATAATGGTGCAATAAAATGGTAAAAATAAATGCTAATTGTAGGACAAATAGAAAACCAGGAATGCCAGAAATGTATGTATGACTCATGATGTATTTATTTGATCTTCATGTGTGTTTTTCATCCATGGAGATTCTTCAGGAGGGAAGGAAGGGCAAAGTTTAGTGACCTTCTATGCTCACCCCATGGTGCTCCTTATAAAAGAAGAAAAAGGAATTCATGTTTTTCTAGTGGTCAGTTTGCAGATGAGGCAGGACATGTCACCTACCTGCAGAAAATGCAGAAAGTGAGGCCAGGTTTTGGGGGTTCTCATTTCAGATTGAGTTGCCTTTGAGATCTCAGGCAACTGGGTCGCAAAAACAAATGGATGCTAATAGGCCCTTCACCTGCCAGGCCCACATGCAGTGGTTCTCAGCCAAGGGAGATTTTTGTCCCTGAGGGGTCATCTGGCAATGTCTGGAAGTTGGTTGTGATGGTTACTGTTCAAGGGAGAAAATTCTACTGATACATAGAGGGTGCAGGCCAGGGATGCTGGGAAATTTCCCTCAATGCACAGGACAGTTCCCTCCCCACAAAATATAAATAGCCAAAATATCAATGCCTGGTGTTGGGAACCCTTGTTTGAGAGCAACTGAGATAGTGGTGGTGTGGAGAATGAATGCGTGTGTGTGTGTGTGTGTGTGTGTGTGTGTGTTTTGAAGAGAGAAATACTGGGCCTCCCCTGGTGGCGCAGGGGTTGAACACTGGGCTGAGAAGCTGCCCGCAGCCTCTGCAGGGCCGGTTTGATCCCCAGCCACCGGCGAGGGTCCCACATGGCGCGACAGACCTCTCCTGCCGCCCACTGCTCTCCTCAGCAGTGTACTTCGTCAGTCTGCCTGTTCAGTTCCCCACTCTGGCTCTGGTGAATTCTCTCACCCTCCCGCACTTCTGACTGTACCGGTGCTTGTATAAATAAATAAATAAATCTTTTACAAATAAATAAATAAATAAATAAATAAATAAATAAATAAATAGAGAAATACTAGCTCAGAGGCCTGAAGAACATATCAGAAATACTTGTCATGTAACAAAGTCCTTTCCCATTTTGCTCCCTGCCTGTCCCCTCCCCACAGGCCTACATCCTACTGGGACAGTTCCTTCTGATGCATAAGAATGAAGCTGAGTTCCAGAAGTGGCTCATTTGCTGTTGTGGTGCTACTGAGTGTGAGGCAAAGGAGAGCTCTAACTGTCTGAAGGAATGGTGTGCCTGCTTCCTGTAAACACCCCTCCTCGCTCTGCTGCCTGTATAAATGGACTTGTGCTGTACCAAGATGTAGGCTTGGAGTCATTTTTTTTTTATAACTTTAATGATACTTGCTTATTATAATAAGTAGTTTAAGAATATAAAGAAGGACAAACATAAGAAAATCCACCTTGTATGAATAGCATACAAATATCTCAGCAGACATTTACATAAAAGGGACATAATGATATAAAAATGGGAATTAAAATATTAACTCAGTGTATTAATCACCTGTTGATGCATAATAAATAAATCCAAAATCTAGTCATATAAAACAAACAATAATTTTATCACTGATGGTTTCTGAGAGTTAAGAAATGAGAGTTGTTTAACTGAGATTTTGCCTCAGGGCTATGGTGAGGTTGTGAACTGTCAGTTGGGCTGTAGTCACCTGAAGGCTAGACTTGGGCTGGAGGGTCCATTTCGGAGATGACTCATTCATAGCGCTGTTGGGTAAAGGCCTCAGCTATTCCAGCATAGGTCTTTACATAGAGCTGCTCATGGTGTGGGAATCTAGCTTTCCACGAAGAGGCTGATTCAAGAGGGGCTAACAGCAAGCAGGAAGCCACAGTCTTTTATGACCTAGTCACTAACTCACAGAACATCAAGCTTCCTTATTCTATTTTTAGAAGCACGTCACTAAGTCTCCCAGTGAGGAAGGAGAGAAATTAAACTTTCTTGAGATAGCACATAATATGCGGACCTATTTTAAAAACCATCACAGTCAGGCTTTTCAAGCATCGTTTGCACACAACTCACCATTTTAGCTGTGTAGGTCTATGAATTTTGACAAAGGCATGGTCCTATAACTACCACCAAGACCAAGATGAAGAACATTCTCATTACCCTGAAGAACTCCCAAATGCCTGATTCAGGCACCCCTCCCCCTCCCCCTGACCCTGACAACCAAAGATCTGTTTTCTGTCCTTAAAGTTTTGAATTTTCTAGAAAGTCATAAAAATGGAATTGTATAGTATGCAGCTTTTTGAGATTTTTTTTTCATTTAACATATTTTTTTTCATTCAGCATAATTCAGGCATTCACTGTTCTTGTAGACGCCAGTAACTTCTCTCATCAAGAAGCTGAATCCCCTCAGCCTGAGGGGGGGTCTCTGGCTACAGAAGTGGGATTAGCATAGCCACAACACAGGGATGAAATATTAGGGAGCTAATGCCCCCAGGAAAAACCTCAGTTATGAGTGGGAGTTGATGGCCAAAAGCCCAGCTTCCTCACTCCTCAGGTGAGGCTACTCTGAGGCAGTCACCCCAAGCTTCCAGTGGGGTTAGGCCAGTTGCCCACATGGTCACCTGTTCTTTACCACCCAGGTATTTGCTTCTCTCCCTTTCCTGTCTTGTATTCCTACTTCCCTATCGGGGTTCCTTGGGATTATTCCCCACCAACGAAATACTCAAATTTAGTCTCAGCTGACTTCTGAAAGAACCCAACCGAAGACAAAAGTGCTGGAATTTAATTTTCTTTTAACAAGGAAAAAATTCAGTGCTGAATATCGCTGAAATTTTTCTCCATTAATACATGTAGTAATTTCTAAATTTCTCCTTAGTTTGAAGAATAAAATGGGAAAAACAAGCAGGGTTAGTACATTAGGCTTGCTTTAAACTCAATTTTTCAGTGTTAGATAGTATGAACTCCTGATACAAAAGTAAAAAATTAACACTCTTCCATCTTCCTTCTCCCTTTCCTTTTAAAATTGGTTTTATTACTTATAATTTGCCAAAGTTAATAGCTTTTACATTCTTCCCAGAAGCATAACCCTTGCAATTGTTTAGTCTTAGTTGTATATTTAAGAGTGCTCATCAATTCTTGTTAGTATTGTTATTTTGAAAATCATATTTTGGTCATCCTTGAATTCTTTATTTTCATACATCTCTTTGTTGGTCAAGTTGCATCATCAGATCAAACAGAATAGGTCAAATTATTCTGCTACAACAAATAACCTCCCCCCCCCACACACACACACATTTCAATGATTTAGCAACAAAGGTTGATCTCTCTCTCACTCAAGCTCCATGTCAGGAAAATTGTTTGGTGTAGTCACTCTGAGATAGGTTGATGGGGATTCCCTCTTAATACATACATGCTTCCATGACTATCACAGCATGGATAGTGCCATGGTGAATTTCACACTGCCTTTCAAAGCCTCTGTCCAGAATGACACATTTCGCTTACATTCAAGTTTCATTGGCCAGGGAAGTTACATAGTCGTATCTAACTCCAAGGGGCAAGGACTCTTCTGAACTCAGAAGAAGTGCAAATATTTGTTGCAGCTCTAACCAAGACCACAGTCATCAGTTAAATCCATTATTTTCCCTGAATGACTCACAGGTGGCATATTTCCTAAACTCATAATATGATGGGGTTATTTCTATTAAAGTCTGTTTAACACTCTCTGGTTCTACTACTCTAGCTCCTGCCAAAGAAAAGAATTCCAAGTGAGTCAACTGGTTGGCCCAAAGATTTAAATTGTTCTATCTCCTGACCATTAAGAGCCTTTCCCTTGGAAATGCAAATCAAAACTACCATGAGATACCATCTTACACCAGTGAGAAAGGCACATATTAAAAAAAACTAGCAACAACAAATGTTGGCGAGGATGTGGAGAAAAAGGAACTCTCCTGCACTGTTGGTGGGAGTGCAAACTGGTCCAACCATTATGGAGAGCTGTGTGGAGATTTCTGGACCTACTAAACATAGAGCTTCCATATGACCTAGCAATTCCACTCCTAGGTATTTACCCAGAGGACACAGAAACATCAATTCCATAGAGCACCTGCACCCCTATGTTTATAGCAGCACTGTTTACAATAGCTAAGCTTTGGAAACAGCCCAAATGCCCCAAAATAGATGACTGGATCAAGAAGATGTGGTACATATACACCATGGAATATTACTCAGCATTCAAAAAAGATAAACACATGCAATTTGCAGCAACATGGATGGCGCTGGAAGGGATCATGCTCAGCGAAATAAGCCAGAAAGAAAAAGAAAAATACCAGATGGTCTCACTCATAGCAGGAATCTAGAAAACTTAAATAAGGGACCAGGAAAATGAATAACTATAAGAAAGTGAAAATCAAAATCAACAAAAAACTATGAACCAGAGACACTCTATGGGGGATGGGGGGAAGGGAGGGGAGGGATTGGGGTCAAAATAAGGGGGTTGCAATTGTATGGGGAATATAAAAATAAAATTTATTTAAAAAAATAAAGTAATCATAAAGTGAAAGAAGAAAAAAAAAAAAGCCTCTCCCTTGCTCCCACCTACATAGTCCATGGACTCCTTCTCCACTTAAATAGTCATGATATTTAGAAGTCACTCATTTTCTTTTTTTTTTAAAGATTTATTTATTTATGCATACAAGAGCTGGGGTACAGGACAGAGATGCAGGCATGGGAGGATTCACCAGAGACAGAGTGGGGAACAGAACAGGCAGATTGACTGAAATACAATGCTGAGGGGAGCAGCAGATAAGACACGAGAGGTCTGCTGCGCCATGTGGGTTGCTCAAACTCATGCTGCAGAGGCTGCAGATTTCTTCATAGTGCTGTGCTTAACCCCTTGCGCTGCCAGGGAGGCCAGAAATCACTCATTTTCTAAGACAAGAACTGATCAGTTCTAGGTAAAAGAATAGGGAGGTAGCCCTGTCCCTCACTCCATTCACATACTCCTCCCATATTGCTTTAATTCATCTCTTCAGCCAAATTGATGTCTAAGATCACGTAGAAGAAGGGTTAGAGAGTTTAAAAAAAAAAAAACACTGGGGAGATGGGACCCCAAGACTAAAAAGCTTTTACAGAGAGACCCTAGCGCAGATATAGAAGACAGGTGTAGCTATTCCCTGTGTAGTGTAACTGGAGAGATACCAGAATGACCCGCATACCCAAATATCTTCCCCACAGACTTTAGGAATGTTCCCTATCAGTTGCTCATTCCCTTGTGTTGATATTTGTCTTCCTCATAGATGAAATTATTAGCTATGCTTTTCCCCTACACCCTGTATCCTAACCTTTGTTATAGGACAAAGTCCTCTTCTCTCCACCAGAGCAGAGTCACTCTCAGCTCTTGACTTCGACTTAGCCACATAACTTGCCTGGGCCAATGGGATGAGACTGAAATGACAGGGTGCTAGTTCTGAGCCTCACTGTGCATTTCCAGTTGCTCTTTCATGCCTCTGCTAACATCGAGAGAACAGCTATCCCTTCAGCCTGACCCCAGAAATGATCCTGGGCGGAGCTGATCTGAACGCAGCCTGCAGCAAAGACCCAAGGCCAGTCAAACAGGCAGTTTGATACAGTGATGCCCAGCTGAGCCCAGTCTGGATCAGCTAACCCTGTGAGTCAGATGAGTCAACTCATAGAGGTGCCAGAAAGAATGAATTGTTGCTGTCTAAAAGCCACTGCTGGGCCTCCCCTGGTGGCGCAGGCGTTTGAGCGCCGTGCTGTGAAGCTGTCTGCAGCCTCTGCAGCACCGGTTCGATCCCAGCCAGCCAGGAGGGTCCCACATGGAGCGGCAGACCTCTCCTGTCTCACCTGCTGCTCAGACACGTCCTGTCTCACCTCTCCTGTCTCACCTGCTGCTCCTGTCTCACCTGCTGTCTCACCTCTCCTCAGCAGTGTATTTCGTCAGTCTGCCTGTTCTGTTCCCCACTCTGTCTCTGGTGAATCCTCTCACCCTCCCGTGGATCTGGCCTGTACCCCCATTCTTATATAAATAAATAAATAGATCTTTAAAAAAATAAAAGCCACTGCTGTTTGGAATCATTTGCTATGCTATAATGGCTAATTGACACATTCCTCTAGTTTAAATGCCCTGGCCTCGCCAAGAGGTGCTGCATTAAAAATCAACCAAATCTTTAGATGGAGCAACAGCTCAGGGTGGGGGAAAGAAAGTTGCTTTTGGAGACATGGTTATGAATTCCTGCTTTGCCAGCCACTGTCTCACCTGAGATTGCTACATAACCTCCCTAAACCTCAGTTTCCATATCTGTAAAATGGCAGGCAGGTA